GTTGGTGTCTTGGGTCCACCCAGAGGTGAGTCAGGAAAAAGACCTGGTGCCCTAGTTGTGGAAAGAAAGCCACCAAAAGGCCTAGGAGCCCAGGCCTCCTTTACAACACACTGGGTTGTCCTGAATCAGGACGGACTCAATCTGAACTAATCACGAGAACTCTGAAGATTAAGGGAACTGTAATGCAGGGAGTGAGTGGGCACTCCCCAGGCCTGAGGCCGAATGCAGAATGAAGGGACTCATTTGGAAGTGGCCGGCTCCCCAGGATAATGGAATTGAGAACTCATTGGGGAGGGTGTGGCTGAAGTCTTCCACATGGTAGAGGGGTTCACGGAGGTGCTGAGGATGAGGCTGGCCAGCAGAAAACCTAGCTAAGGTGCTGATGGAGTGCCCCAGGTGCTGCCCTGGAATTTGCTGGGAGAGAGCCACTGTGCAGGTGCCGCTGAACTCACTGGGCATGAAGCCTGCGGGCCATCCGGTTTGCCAGCCAAGCACTAGAGGTGCAAAGAGAGGAAGGAACCTACCACGAGGAGCGTCCCTGCAGCATCCTCTAGAAACATGCTGCCAAGGTCAGGGGAGATGTGAGAGAATACACTCTCACAGAAACATCCAGAATCTATTTTTAGGGCTCGCTTTTGTTTGTTTGTTTTGATTGTGGTGAAAATCTGTGCCATCAGACATATGCCCGCTTAACAATTTCCACAGATTCGTGCAGCCCAATAACCTTGATGGCATTCTTCAGGCTGTGCCCCTATCTCACCAGGCTTCCCAAACCAGCCCACCCCGCTTGTTGCTAGGGACCACGCTCACATCAGTGTTTCAGCCTTCTTTTCATCGAGTCCCAGCCCAGCCTGTTGGCATGGCTCTATGCCCAGACCTCTCCTGCCCTGTTCGCCCTCCAGCAGGAATCCTGACTTCTGGAAGAGCAGTGGGCTCCATGTGGTTGGGCCGCAGGGAAATCTGCTGACTCCTCGTGGAAGGACCTGGCCTCTGGGGACATGCACTAAGTCGGCCCCGGTGGTCTCACCAGCAAAAAGCTGTCAAGGTTGTCTTAAAGACCACCCATCTTTTTTTTTTTTGCTTTGAGTTGCAGCCACTGTGACATACTTTGAATCAATTCTAAGATCCATATAAGCGAGTGGTGGACAATGAAGTCCTATGATGCCTGCCAGTAGGATGCTACTTCCTAGGTGTCCCCAAATGACAATTGTACAGAGATCTGTCACTTGATGTCTTCAAAACACATGTTTCCAGACCCATCCTGTGAAGGCGGTTGTGATGGGAGGCCAGCCCCCGACAACTAATCACGGGTTTACTAACTGCAGTTGTACAGTTATGTATAAATGATAGTAAAGTCATACAGAATAATAGACAGGAAAGAGTGAAATAAAGAAGTCAGACTCATTTCACGGTAGCAAGCTCACCTCCTGGATGGCCATGATCTCAGCAGTCAGGTCCGCGCACAGCGCCGGCAGAGAGGGCAATAGGCACAGGCGTAACAGGAAGGGGGTGAGCTAGGGGTGTACGTGTACAAGGAAGGGGAGGGACTAGGGGTAAACACGTGACGATGGATGGACTCTAGATTCATGATGGCGGCCTAATCTTGGTCACCCTTGAGTGGGCATGACCTCCCTGGGCTCTCCTTCAAGGAAACAATCTACTACCATCCTTATCAGAAGGGAGTGGGCCCTACTTAGGGTGGGGCAGACTATACAGTCTGATTGCTCTAGATGGGTGATAACCCTCAGGGAGAATAACCTCTGACCTCCTAGTGTGCAGCCATTTAGCAGGTGTAGCAAGCGGCTAGGTTTGGCATATATTTGGGGGAGACAACTTGGGAGAAAACTTTCTGCTTCCCACAGGTGACTTTCTCTAATACTTCTTGCACTGATTGGGACTCATGGCCAGGAGGGATGCGCTATAAACACAGATACCTGAAGTGTATCGATGAAGTGGAAATATTCATGTTGCTTGTTGTGCAGGTCTGGTTCCATAGGTAAAGCAATGCCCAGGGTATTGATTAAAAAAAAAAAAAAACACCCCAAAAATGAAAACAACTCACTGCCATCAAGTTGACTCCAACCTGTGGCCCCCCAGTAGGACAGAGTAGAACAGTCCCTGTGGGCTTCTAAGACTGTTCAGTCTTTATGGGAATAGAAAACCTCATCTTTCTCCTGCAGAGCAGACGGTAGTTTCGAACCTCTGACCTGGAGGTTAGTCGATCAATGGGTAACCCACTATGCCACTGGGGCTCCTATGATATTGACTGATGTATGTAATCCAACTTCATCATTCAAAGATGGGTTTTTGTTGTCAGGTTGTTGTACCCTACTGTCCGTTCCCAGAAAGAAAACAACCCAGACCACCGACAAGTTCAAAAGAAAAAGTTTTGTTACCTGCCCAGGGACCATCAGCCCTTTTGTGAGGAGACGGAGTGGTCCCCCATTTACTTTTCCAGAGGCTTTTATGCCGTTGCAACGTGCAGGGTCGCAGCAAGCCGAGCACAGAAGCAGGATATCGCGGTCAGCCGTTCTTAGTCAAACAACGGCTGCTCTTAGTTGGACAATAATCGCTCTGATCGTTCTTCCAAGCCTTCTGAACATACACTTCCTTCGGTACATTATGTTGCCCTTGTCAGCACAGCCTGCCTCCCTAATATCAGCTAGTTCATTTATAGTTTGTAGCTAGTTCACTTACAGTTCATAATGGCTCTGTCAGCTCAA